GAAGAGACACTTCAGTCCTGTATTCTACCAACATACACCCTGAGTCTGATGTTCTGCTGAGGCCAAGTCTAACACCTGGTATTTAGAGAGTGTGGTTACACAAATAATCCCAAAGAACAGGGTAGTAAGCAGTCAGTAATCACTGACTAGTCTACCTCTGGGTGAGTTTTTGCACTCACAGTTTCACAGGCTAAAAAAAATTCTTCAGTGGATCTTTTTTTTTTTTTAATTTTCTTTTAATGTTTATTTATTTTAGAGACAGAGATACAGAGCACAAGTGGGGTCGGGGCAGAGAGAGAGGGAGACGGAATCTGCAACAGGCTCCAGGTTCTGAGCTGTCAGCACAGAGCCCGACGCGGGGCTTGAACCCATGAACCGTGAGATAATGACCGGAGCTGAAGTCAGACACTCAACCAACTGAGCCATCCAGGTGTCCCAGTGGATCTTTTTGTTTTTCCTAAGTTTATTTATTTATTTGAGGCGGGGAACGGGTGTTCCACGCATGGGGTAGGGGCAGAGAGAGAGAATCCCAAGCAGGCACTGCACTGTCAACACAGAGCCCGAGGTGCACACTGTCAGCATGGAGCCTGATGTGGGGCTCGAACTCATGAATTGCGAGATCGTGACTTGAGCCTAAATCAGGAGTCGGATGCTTAAGTGACTGAGCCACCCAGATGCCCCTTCAGTGGATCTTTGCATGGCTGCAGCCTTCTCATCGACTGCTCATCATTCAAATGTCACTTCCTAAAAGAGTGGGTTCCTAACCATCCTAAGTAGCTCCCTCACCAATAAAGCCATTCTCCAGCACACAACCCTACTTAAGAGCCTTCAAAATGCTTACCATTACCTCAGATTATTTTTATTGTTGCTTTTTTCTTGCTAAATGTCTATACACCTAACTAGAATGTAAGTTACACAGGAGGAGAGATTTTTGTCTGCAACTTTCTCTGTTATATCCTCAGCATTTCCAATAGCACCTGGCACTCACAAAACATTGTGAGTTGATGAATGTGATGGAACCAGGTTGAAGGTCAGAAACATTTTCATCTGTGATTTTTGCATCTGTACTTTTATACAAGTGCGTAGCTCATTACAGGTATTGGTGGAGCTGTGTGCCAAATCCAACAATACTTCTGATGGGAATGTTTCTAAAATGTGCAATTGTTGCTTTATTTCTGCTCTGTCATTTTTCACAGGTTTCAAACGTGTCATAAAACATTATTGGGTCAGGGACCATGCAGGCCACCAGATGGTTGAGAATGATTTATTTCCTTGATTTCAGACTCCTGAAGAAAGATTGCAGGAAGAAAGCCAGTTCTTATCTCTGAGCTTACAGAATATGAAAGATAAAAGGGACCTTGAAGTTCATCTAGTCCAGATCCACTCTTAATTTAAAAACCCATTCTATCTGCCAATGACATGGTTATCTGACCTTGACTTTAATATTTTTAGTGATGAGCCACTCATTATTTTATGAGAGAACCTGTGTCACAACTGGACGGATTTTGATGAGCAAGGTCTTCCTTCTATGGATTCAAAATTTCCTTCCTGTAATGTCTGGCCCTTGGAGCAACAATGAGCAAGTCTAGTTCCTGTTCTGAATGATGAACTTTGAAATATTTGAAGACATCTAAAATATCTCCCCCTTAGTATCTGCTACTTCAGAATAAGTAACATAAATACCTCCAGCTGTCCCTCACTTGTTCCTCCCTGTTAGACCCCTCCGTCTTCCAGGTGGATAGTCTCTGGGCACTCTTCAATTAGGAACCATGTTCTCCAGGGCAAAGTGGAATTGAGTCTTATTTTTAATGATGGGTTTAATTGTACTTGTACCATAAAGCTACTAAGTGATCCACTTTTGTCAGTCAACTATGCATATAATTATGCACTGTATCATTACCAATACCAGCATCTGTTATTAATTATAAAATGCAAAAGCAGAGCTACTCTGATATAATGAACCTCCATCTCTGCTGGAAGTCTATCTAAAGAATATCTTGTAACTGGCAATGTCGGCTTGCTACTGAAAATCTTTTGATGAAAATATGAAAAAGCTTTTAAAATAATCTGGCTTCTCAACTTGCACATGCACAATAATATGGCTTCTATCAATCTCAAAATCCATAGAATAAGTAATTATAGACAGCCTGAATGTAAGGTATTCCATTATAAATACTACCAGCGGAAATAATCTAAGATAAACTAGTAAAAATGAATGGCATTCTTACAGCAGAAAAAAACAACAACAACAACAAAACTTATCAAATGTTTAATTGAAAGCTTTTCAACTAAACAAAGCACAAGTGCAGTGAATCTGTCCATATTCAGACTTTATGGGAAGATCTGGCAAATTGATTTGTGTTTTGTCATTCTTATGATCAACATTGGTTATAATCATATTATCAGTATTAATCACTAAAAAGGGTAGAGATTATATATAGTGCTGTAGCCCAATATTTTCCCATACTGACTTGCCACTCCTAAAAACTAACAAATGGATTAAGTTCACACTAGGAAAGTTGATAGGTTTCAACTCACATATACACTTAATATCTATACTGTAATCATCTGTGTTTTTAAAACCAAGTGGTAAGTTATAATGTATTTGAATATCCACAGTTATGTTCGCATTTAATAATATCTTAGAAATATTAAGCATTGTTTTCTGTTCTATGGCATGAACAGGACCTTAACTATTGAACTTGTTAGCTGGCCATCCTTATTTCAGACTTTCACCTGGAAAAAAAAGATGTAGCATAATCACTAAAGAACTCAGAGACACTGAGCGAATGATTCTTTGATTATCTTTTAAAACAGGCAACCTAGGTAATTCAGTGGTTTCAACAATTCTTGTTATGAGTTGAGTTGTGTTCCCCACAAAAGCATATGTTGAGGTCCTGATCCCCAGAACCTCAAATGTGGTCTTATTTTGAAATAGAGTCATTGCCGATGTAATTAGTTAAGATGAAGTCATACTGAAAGAGGATGGGCCCCTACTCCAACATGACTTGTGTCTTTATGAACAAGGTGAAATCTGGAGATCTACACAAACAGGGAGAATTCCATGTGAATATGAAGGCAGGGATTGGGGTGATGCTTCTACAACCAAGGAACACGAAAGATTGTCATCCAACTGCCGGAAGCTGAGGGAAGGACATAGAACAGATTCTTCCTCACACCCCTCAGAAGGAACCAACCTTCCTGACACCTTGATCTCAAGCTTCCTAGCTTTCAGAACCATGAAACAATAAGTATCTCCTGTTTAAGCCACTCACTTTGAGGTACTTTATTACAGCAGCCCTAGGAAACAAATACAATTCTAAATCCCTTAAAAAATCCTTGCCACACTTCTTTGTGGCACTTCAGGGCCCAAAGCACTTTATTTTGGATATGCTTAATGTGGCATAGTCTTGTCCTCTGAGATGAATTCTTTAACAGCCAAAAGCTACTTATACGTAAGCTATAAATACAATGGATCATTTGTGGAGGTAATCCGCCATTTTTCTCAAATAAGTTAATTTACACCATAAGCTAATGAAACTGATTTTTGTGCATCTCTACAATTGACTTTTGTGCATCTCTACAATTGAAACATCTAAAAGATGTTTTGAACAATAGGATTTTTAGGGAAAGACATATAGCCTCTTAAGATTACTGTCTTGAAATACATAAATATATATATATAAATCCGGATGTTCTGTTTTAAAAAAAGTTTTGCTCTTTATCACCATGCTTTGTGGTAAGCCAGAGGTTTTCAATGGTGCTTTTGGATACCCAGATGCTTGACTGGAGATGTTATTGGGAAAAAATCCCAGCCCCTCAGCCTGAGCACCCTCCCTGCCATCTGATTTACATTTTGAGTTTCCACTCTAGATCAAGACTGCAATAAAATTTTCTGTAATGTGGAAATGTCTTATATCTGCATTGTCTAATACTGAAGCTGCAAGTCTCAAGTGGCTTTTAAGCATTTGAAATGTAGCTATTTGAACTAACGAAATGAAATTTTAATTTAATTTAATTTTAATTTTAATAGCCACATGTAGCTATTGGTGACTGTACTGGATGGTATAGTTCTAGATTTTAATTTGAAATAAGATTCTGCTGCTAACAAAGTTTGAAAATCACCACTAAAAAGGAAGGAATAGGAAAGCTTCTGCTAACAAAGGAATAACTGGTTATTCTGAAAATTTTTCCCAGAAAACGCGAATAGGCAACTTTCTTGGGCATGTGAGGATTGATGTTAAACCCAGTGAGCATCTAATTTCTTTAAATCAGCTAACTAAAACTAACATCGCTGATCATTAGCCAGTAGGGGGAACTGAAGAGTAGAGGACAACGTTTTCCCTGGAGAGTGGGATTTTTTTTTCCCTACATATGTTTTCGTCTCTGTGGAGGCCCTAAAATACATAGTCTGTTCAAGAACTCCAAACCTTGTCTTCTGAAATATTCAGAGTTCTTTATACACTCCTCATGCACCTGTTTCCAAAGAATCCCCAGGAGGCAAGAGAACTTGGTTCTAGACAATACGGTTTAAAATCCAATTGATTCTAAATCTAGTCTTCCCCAATTCCTTTTTTGTTTAACTTCTTTTTTAACGTTTATTTATTTTTGAGAGAGACAGAGTGTGAGCAGGGGAGGGGCAGAGAGAGAGGAAGACACAGAATCTGAAGCTGGGTCCAGGCTCTGAGCTGTCAACGCAGAGCCTGGTGCAGGGCTTGAATTTACAAACCACGAGATCATGACCTGAGCCGAAGTTGGACACTTAACTGATTGAGCCACCCAGGCACCCCCTACCCCCCACCGATTTCCTTTGTTAACACATGATGATTTTATAGTGATTTTTAGTGCTATCCTGTTTCTCCACAAATTAGAGAATAATTTTAAGGGCCTTTATATTTAGATAGAAGAGGAAAATTTCATCGGCAAATTGTTGATTCTTTACCTAAAAGTCATTATAAGAAAATTTGTATGCATGATAGGTTCACAACGTATGGCCTTACCTCTTGATAAAGGTCACTGAGATCTTCCTGGTGGGCCTGTTTGGAACATCCTGGGAATTCCCTAACACAACAGGAATCTGGGGGCCAGTCCATCTCTGTCATTTCCAGCCAGTCAGTGAAGTACACCACCCCACAGCATTTAAACTGCAAAAGAATGACTGGTCAGGCTCAGCAACTACAAAAATATTTTCTTAACTTACAGAAGATTAAACGTTAGATTTCTTAAATTTTTGTACCCAGAGCCAAACTCACCTCTCTCATTACCTAACGATGTGTGTACATTCTATGTTGACGACAAAAATGCAGCCAAGGACCCTATAATGGAACACTTCTGAACAATAATGCTCATAACACATGCAAACAGATCAGGCATGGCTGAATCTCTCCACGACTGTATGGTCCTCCATAAGTGATCATTCAGCAGCAGACTGAACATTCACAGTAACAAAATCATTAGCAAGAATCCTATATTTACCATTAAAACTTTAGCTACTAAAGAACAGTTGATCCATCTATTTGCATATCACCTAGTTTAACTAATATAACTGCTTAATAAATTCAGACATTAAATTACAAGTTTCCATTATCTCTGTAGAAAGAGTTGTTGACCAAAAGTCCACATCACAAAGATTACCCAACTTGGATTGATTAACCACTAAATTGTCAAAAATTTTTCAAAACATAAACACAGGTTTGGCCAACAAATTTTTATTTAACTGAATGAGAATCTTGAAATAAAGTACCATATTCTAGCACCATGATCTCAGAAGAAATGATATGCCTTTAGCTTGAATAAAATTGGATTTAAGGAAAATTACTGTTGTCTTTTGTTTCTTTTTATCTAATTTCACCAAGGATTAGCAAAAACTTTTTCTGGTGAAAGTTTAGAAACACTGCTTAAGGATATATGTAGATTAGATTCAGAATAATTAACTATGATAATTTTCTGCCCTTGGATAGAGGGAGTTACTCTTCCCTACAGTCAAAAACAAGGACTCCTGGCAATCACTGAAAAGAACTTTGCCAAGAGTGACTGGCTCTGCAAATTATGTAGCCCAACAGACCAATCTGTGTGCAGGATTAACACCGTATCATAAACTAGCACAATCCACCATTTCAAAATCCAACTAAAATCATCTATGAGGAATTCTGAACTTCTCATGTAAAATGAAACAAGGAAAATACTAAAAACCATTTTACACTTTTCCTTTTGCCTAAGTAACTAATTAAAAAAAAATCTTCAGACTATTGTAAATGATGAATTACTGATGCCACGAGTAATACTAAAATTTTCTGAGAAACATTTTTTATATTTTTACTACTTTCCTTTTACAAACTTGTTCTAAAAGCTACAGATATACCATAAACATCATAAATTAAGTCAAACATAATTTGACATCATATATTTTACAAAAGGCCTTGAGTATCCATAAAAAACATATGTAGTAAAAAGACTTCACTTTCTAAAAATCATAAACTACTATATTTCCAAGGCAGGCTTTTTCAATTCTTGCACTCAGAGAAAATCCACTTCTCTCGTTTCATGAGGACATGTGTTTTTCTATGCTGACGACAGAAGTACAGTTCTTGGAACTCAAGCTCCATCCACAATAGAACAGCCCATTTATCTGGCCTGGTCAGGAAATGAGGTGCTCCACAGAAATGACTTTTCCAAATAACTGAAGCATACCATGTTCAGTGCCAGATATATTTTTTAATATTGATAAGTCACTGAGTCATTTTTTTTCTTTTTATATAGTTGTTTTTCTTTGTCAACAGGAGATACTAAATCGGTAATGAAATTTTCCCTGAGAACTCCCCTAAGCGGTCCCTTCACGACACTAGGCATGACTGTGGTCTACCTCTTCTCACGGTTTTCTCACCACCTTTAAAACCACATTATTGAGAGAGGGTCACTCTTGCTAGCATCCTGTGAAACTGGAAAATACCACCACCACTTTACATATAAAGAAAGGTTCTGATGGGCCAGGTAACTTGCAGAGACCAGTATGTGGCAGGAGCCTATTTATTCCAAAGCCTGTACTCCAACCATTAAGTTAAAATAAATAAGTAAATACACCTTTAAAAATGAGTTTTTAAAAAATATATGAAATAAAGATCACTAAGGCTTGAGTGAAAGTCCACTAAAATGAGGTACGTGCATAGAACTGCACTGAATGAAGGTCAGAAAAACTGGGGCCCCACCAGGTCACTTTTAGCTCTACAGTTTATTTTGGGAGAGGGGTGTTATGGGCTGAAATGTGTTCTCCCTTCCCAAAATTCACCCCAAAATGTGACCACATTTGGAGATAGGACCTTTACAGATGTAATTAAATTAAAAGAAGGTCATAAAGGTGGGATCTACTCCTATATGACTTACATCCATATAAGAAGGAGAAATCTGAACACAGATACATACAGAAGGAAGATGACGTGAAGACACAGGGAAAAGACTGCTGTCTACAAGCCTGGGAGAGAGGCCTCAGAAGAAGTCACCCCTGCACCCCTCGATCTCAGACTTCTAGCCTTCCAAACGGTGAGACAATGCATTTCCGTTATTCAAGCCCCCAGTGGTAACTTATTATGGCCATAGCCCTAGCAAACTAACACATAGGGGCTTTAAAAGACTCTTTTGGGGGTGCCCAGAGATCTTCGCCATCTCCTTTTGGGGGAACTGGGCCTATGATACAGAGGAGGGAACTTACCAGGCAACGAAGCTAAAAACATGTACTATCATTTGCAGTGCTGTACTTCGTCTACCTAAGTAAAGCCCCTCTTTGTGCCACTGGGAAAAAACTCACCTTGCTTTCTAGCCTGTTTTATTATGGTCTACATCAGAAATCCCAGAACATAAGGAGCTATGGACAGCTTCCACCCAGGGCAGTAGCTGAACACATCTTACCATAAATTCCCTAAGGCCTCACCTTTTTTCCCTTCACGTTGCCTTTAGTACAAATGAACAGTAAACAAACAAAGTCAGGAAGCATTTAAATAAATAGGAAATCTGTGTCACTATGATAATTTTCACCATCTCGACAACTGTAACACCAGGAGCCAAATTTGGAGATTATCCTGTACTTGAACCTCTGCCCATATTCCAGACAGAGGAACTGAGCAGAAAGCTGGATATCTATCATGGGAGACGCTGCCTCTCACATGAGTTGTGGCCCAGCTCTAAACGAAACGAAAGGAAACAGGCATACTTGGTCACCCCAGCATCTCCAATCACAAGAAAACTGCTTGGGCAGAGAGCTTGGTTTGAAGCAAGATCAGCGGTTAACTTCAAGTCACCGAATTTTAAGCATCTAAATATAGGCTGTGTTTGAGAAGATGATATCCATGGGGCTTTATGGAAGTTAGGTAAGAAAAGCTGAAAGTGCCTGTGCTTTGTAATGCTATAGTTAATAACCTTAAGCTAAATGAGATCAAGCTTAAGATCCCATTTATTCTTCTCAACAATCCAAGGAGGCAGGTAATTTTATTATCCCTATTTTACAGGTGAGGAGACTGAGGCTAAAGACGTTAAGTAAATGAGAGAAGCTCATGTAATATTAAGGAGCAGAGCCAGAATCTGAACCAAGATCTGACTAGAAAGCTCATGCTTCTTAAAAAAAAAATGTTTATTTCTTTATTTTGAGAGAGAGAGAGCATGAGGGAGGGGGAAAGGGAGAGAGAGAGAGAGAGAGAGAGAGAGAGAGAGAGAATCCCAAGCAGACTCCATGCTGTCAGCACACAGCCTGACACAGGGCTCCATCCCATGAACTGCAACATCATGACCTGAGCTGAAATCAAGAGACGGACGATTAACCGGCTGAGCCACCCAGGTGCCCCAAAGCTTATGTTCTCAATGATATACTGATGCTTAATTCCCCAATAAGAACCATTATTTTTTTAAAAATTAACTGTTTAAAAATAAAGACAGCCCTAAAGGTCGTGAAAAATTATGTATTCAAATAAAACTTGGATATATATCAAGAAACTCTCATAAAACTCCACAGTAGGTTAGCAACATGGCTCTTAAGAAATTCTTAAAATATATGTGAAGCATGTGAAATGAAGGGAAAAATGGTACACAGGAAGAAAAGAAGGGCATGGAGTTACTTAAGGTATTTCTCAGTAAAGAATTCCACCCAGGGTAACTGAATCATAGGCTTCACTTTTCAGCACAGAGAAAATGACCAAAGCCAAAGCTTTGAACATTTGTTTTGAAAGTGTGCCATTTATTCCATACCCTCTGCCTCAGACACTGTAGCACTTACCTCTCTCTGGAAAAAATTCCAAGCGTGGGTAAGCCACCGGTATCTAGGTAAGCCATAATTTGTCATTCTGGCTTTCAAAGTGACCATGTCTGACCACTGTACTGGAACCTGGAGATAAGAAACAAAATATCAACAGCTGGAATACACAAACACACACATACAGGAACACAAACGTTCACATATTCATAAATACAATCACTCACAGACTCATACACATACTTGGAATGTATTGCAATTAACAGATGCTATTTTAAACTTATATTTGTGGCCCAAATTAAGCTCAAGGTTATTAGCTACATATTAAACAATCTCTATGTGTAGATGTTTGCAGTAAATGAGGAAGTTCTTTACATTAAACAAAGGAAAAAAAAGCAAAATCATTTAATGCTAATATCAAGCATTAGGAAGTCACAAAACAAGCAGTTTACTGTATATCCTACAGATCCAGCTAAAGAGCTCCTCATAACAAATGATCTGCCCAGAAAAGTCCTCTGATTTGATTTCAGAATGCTATGGAGTTGGTCTTTGAAGTGACTGCAGATTATAGCACTAAAATAATGGGATAAGAATTAAGAAGGAAAAGAATTCAGCTCAAGTCAAGCTTCACTGTGGATTAAGTGTGTAAATATCTGTCCAAACATTGGGTTTCGGGTGCATGCTAGAATTTTAGAAAGAAAACCTCTCAGATTAAAGCGTTTTTTGTGCTTCTTGCCCCCAGTCACCTAGCACAGTCTCCCTTAACAGAGTGTTTAATCATGACAGCTTCAGGTACACAACCCAACAGTTGGCCAGAAACCTAGTCAGCATATCATGCAGTGCTTTATCTACAATGCCAGGGGAGAAACATGCATACACATCATAGTCTCACCACACATGTGGTATTAGGTTTACAATATGTAACTGGGGAACTGGACAGATATCCATATCCGATCTATCGGGTAATACAGACCAAACTTAGCCAAACAAGCTTGACGCTAACTCAAGATTAGGACTATTTTGAAATCTTATTTTGAAAAGACAGTAATACCAATAGAAGTAGTTTCAAAATTCCTGACCACAGAAATTCTTCATTGTTTTCCTTTGTTACTTTTCTTTTTTAATACTTGGAAATGTGCATATAAAAGGAAACATGCCAACACTGGGGCACACAACTTTGTTCCCCCTGAAAAATGGTCTGACCAGGTATACTCCATGTTCGCACGGTTTCGACAAAGTTCAGGTAACTAAACCAAAACTCAGGCTACTCACTATAAGTTATTATTTCATATGCTTTTGAACATAATATACATAGAAAGGAAATAAATTCTCTAGAAATTTATAATCTGAAACAGTTAATAATATTGATTTTTCTAGAGAAAGAACAAATAGGAGGTAACTATGTATAAGCAACAGAAATAACAGGGAAACAGACTGACGTCAAATCTCTTGATTTGGTTATCAGAATAGTCTTATTTTAAATTTTATTTTACAAAATAAATATAAGTTGTTTCCCTCTTGTGACCACAATCTGAGACCAAATATGGCAAGAAACAGAGATCATTGAGGTTCTGGCACAAAATACTGTGATTTGGCCATAAAGGAAAACACACAGTTATTGGCTCCTTGCATGGAACAGCTAAGAGCACAAAGCCCATTCTATGCAAAGGCTGGGTTCTGCAAAATTTGGCAGCTAATAAACTTTAATGGCACTTTTCTTTCACACTGCTATTAGAGCAAAAGCAATAAAAAAAATTCTGACAAACTTTTTTTCCAAAGAACCATTTTCCACGTTTCACTTTTAAACAGCCCAAACAGCCCTTGCTCTATCCTGATGACTTAGTGGGGAAGATTTGTATAAGCAAACAGTGATGTACGCACTCAACTGAAATGGCAGTGTGCATCCATATAGTACCACTATGACACCAAGAAGATATGTGGCGACTGTCCCTTAACACAACAGAAGAAAGTATCTTCTAGAATTAGATTATATTAGAATCAAAACAGTTACTTTCACATACCTTAAATTAATTCACTTCATATTTGTTATAACTTGGGAGATTTATCAAATATCAGTATGACATAAAAACTATACAAACCATTTTAAAATCCATAGAGAGCAAACTTCTTTCTAAAAACCTTTAATTATCAAAAGGAACATGATCAAAAGCTGAGCTGACGGGATCAGAGGTTAATTATACAACTACTATCTATTGCTTGAATGTCAAGAAGATACATGTATCTTGGGAAGAAAGAAAAAAAATAGAAGGGAACATCTCTTTATCAAGAAAGCATAGAAACTGAGTCTGGAAGAACTACTCTTTCACTCCCCTAAATATACGATGTTTCTAGGGATGGAGTGAAAACGTGATTCTCAAAGACAACAAGAACATTCCTATTTTACTAGGAGATTTCGTTTTAAAGAAAGTTTTTAACTTTCTTAAAATTAGTTAGAACCTGCCCTGACTTTTCAATTTTTAACAGAAAAAAAAAATCATCCTAAATTCTCTCTTCTTACTAAGAGCTGTCAGACAGGGGAAGCACTACTGTTTTCGGAGGGGTTCAGAGATGTGGCTGTGCCAAAGCATCGTTTACATGCAAATTAGCATATGCAAAGGACCCATTAGTCTCTAATTACCGCTTAGGATTCAAAACAGTCTCACAGGACAGTAACAGATTCACCCCAGAATCTTCAATAACTGTATCGGTACCAAAACACTTCTATTTTATTACGCAACTGCTGAAATGCCTCTCTGAAATAAATACAAAATAACCTCTCTCTTTTTAAAAGCTCTTAAATGTTAAAATGTTGACGATTCACCTGGGGAACTTGTCACAAATGTGGATGCCTGGTGCCTGCCGTTTCTTCTTCTGCTTTCCCCTCTATTCTGGCCTAGTGCCCTATAATGTGCATTTTAAAGACTGCCCTGGGTGACTCCTGCTGTAGACAGTCCAAGGACTACTTGTTGAAAAACATCATCTTCCTGAAACAGAATTACTCCAAGATGCTCGCAGTGGAAAAATCTGGCCTGCCACCATGAAAACAGCCAGCAATCAAATATGCAGAGATGTTCAACCTCATCGGCGATAAACGCACCAATTTTCACCAATGACGTGGGCAAACGTTAAAAAAGTAATAATGCCTAGTGTTGCGCAAGGGTGAGGGGCAAGTGATAAACCAAGCAAGACTGGTAAAATCTTAAGACTGAGAGACTCTGACCCTTGTTCCTTCTCTCATTCATAGCTATAAAAGTTTATTTCAGTTGATAAAATGAAAGAAAAAAAATGCTTCAGAGCTGTTTTCAGGTAGCCAAGTCTCAAACTAGCAGAGTGTTTCTAGGCTAAAGTAAACACACAGCAACTCTTCGAATATAATTCTTAAAGTAGAAGATGGCTCAGCTTGTTGCGAATAGAAGATGCATGCTTCCTATTCATCAGCATACAGCTGCAGTGGGCATTTTCTGAGGCTTACATGTACATTTTCAAGCTCTCCCAGATCCTGTTGCAAACACAAATGTTTCCTATTACACACTCAAAAGTTGGCATAATTATTTTAGGACACCTATTATTTGTAGTCTGTTGTATCCGTGTTTAAGCAACCTGTGGAATTAAAGACATATAGTACAGCAAATAAAACATTACAAATTATGATTTGGAACTATGCTTTAGACACAGACAAGAAAATGTTAATTTTCAGAGGTATTGGGACCATCATTGTTATCATATAGTATAAACATTCAAATTAATAATCATGTGCCTAAATAACTCCAAAGTATGTGATTTAGAAATCTGCACTAGAGATTGTCCAGATTGTAACTGTATCCCACTTTGAACTCACCATAATCTCCTGTTCATACGTCCAAACACCGCAAGCCAGTTCCACACAGAAAATGACGAGCAAACTTCCAAAGTACTGTAGGAGAACAAACAGTTAATGCTGTTAGGATAGAATCAAAACGAGATGCAGTCATTAGACACAAGCTAAATATTATTCAGCATTGTTTATCCAGTGGACAAGAAAACAGAGGCATATAGTCAAGAAGCTCCCTTGGGAATAGATGGGAGACGTGTCAGCAAATTTAGAGAAATCTGCAGACAACGTCCAACAACTCACGTACATGGGCCGTTTGGCTGGTGCTCTATTTTATCAAGTACTTTCATGATGAATTCACTCAAACACCTTGTGAAACGGATAGGACTACCTCGTTTTATAAGTGAGAAAATTAATGCAGAAAGTAGGCAGTGCGATTTGCTCAAGAATGTGTACAGCGAATTCTGGAGGGCTAAGACCCTCGCAGTTGTGTCCCTTAAGCCATACCTCGACACCTCTCCCATTGTGGAGGTACCGTTGCAGAAATAGGAGGTGAAAGTGTGAGAAAGAAAGGGCTCTCTGAAAGTTCTCTTCACTAAATTCCAGCAGAAATAAAACAATACCAGTGCTTTCTGCATCTTACGTCACTGGGTCAGGGTGGGGGTCCCCGGTAGTGACGATTAGTGATTAACCCCCGTTACTGGAATGACATTTCCCTTACGGGCAGGAACTTTACTGTGTTCCTTGTTACAAAGCAGGTGCTCAATAAAGATTTGTTATATAATAGAATAAATGAAAACAAAGCAGAGTGATATCACTGTAAGAGACTGGGAGCTGCCTTGGACTGGGTGATCTCTAGGAAGGTGATTTTTAGGAAGAGTCAGTAATGACAACGAGAAGGCAATGCTGATAAGATTCGTGGAAAAGCAATCCAGGAAGGGGAACTATTAAGTGCAAGGTCACCTATCTGAGCATGCTAATTAGTTAAGAACTCCCTGGTAACTGGAGTACAGAAGGAGGCAGGGTGGGTACAGGGAGTGTAAGTAGACCACGATGAGGAGTTTAAAGAGCCAGATCTTCATGGGCAGTAAAAAGGATTTTGGCTTTTATTCAAAGTGTAATCAAAATCCAGCGGCATGTGACAAGATCTGACGTACATCATAAAAACATAATTCTGGCTGTTTTGTAAAAAAACGACCTGCAGGAAAGCAAAGGTGTGATAATAAAAAAAATTGCTAAATAAAAAAATTGCTGAGCTAGGATGGTAGCAGGGAAATGGGCTGATACAGGATTGGGAGCCATCAAAACTTGAACACTGAACTTGAACTTGAAAGGGGAGGAGGAAATAAGAAATCTAGAAAATTGAGCTGATTTTCTACTACTTCCAGGATATAGCCCTATTATTTAAAGACATCAGTCACTGCTACTAGTTTTAATTTGTTTCTTTCATATAAAAAAATAAAGAATATGTAGCTGCATAATCTCATAGATCATAACATGGTTTGAAAATAAAAATTGGTTCAAAAGATAAAGTGATATTTTTTAAGGTATTCCATTTTAGCACTTTTATTTTCAATATATGCAGTACTCCTGGTCAGCATCAATCTACTCAAATCTCACTGCCTTACTTTAAAGATTTTAGCCTTACAATGATGATCAGAAGAAAGTTTGTGAACACAGTACTCTAAGTCAGTTTTTCTGTAAACTCTCTTTCACGGCTTACTTAAGAGATTTCTAGACATGAACAATACTACATTTCCCCCTTATGTTACAAAGAGCAAATATTCAATAATTGTATACTAGATCAATTTTTTCTACGTTTTAGAAGACCCTGCAAGAGAGTAAGACTCTAGAGAAAAATTGTACCATGGGATATTTTTGTTTTCTCAAATCCGTAATCTAAATTCTTTTCAAAATTGACGTTAGGTTACAATGAAGACCAAAGCAGCCCTGAAAAGCAAGACATCTCTAAAATAAAACATAGACATGGACACTGTTGCTTGTCAGGAGATAACCTTACTTTGCCTTGCAGATCACCAGGCAGATTTCTGGATTGATTTTATATCCTTTTAAATTCCACTTGAGTCACTTCTCTTGTTTCTTGCCTCCTGGAGTCACTGGCCAGTGAAGGGCCAGCAGAAGGGCCCCAAGCACAGAACTCAGGGCAAAGTGCCCAAATGTAAGCAATACTTGTAATACCTGGGTAACTGTGCCAGGCCTATGGATCCAAACAGTGTAGTAACTACTCACACGCCAGCACCTCTGATTTCTTGTGGTGAGCATTACAATGGGCTAGCAACATCATGACCTAAGCATCTCCAGGAATACATAAATAAAGCCTATATAACTTAAACAATCACTTATTAAAAACTCAAAACTGAGATTACCTATCATGAGAAGGAAGAAGTCCACATAAGTTGGACACTCCTTTACCTCTGGGAAAACTCTAAAATTATTTTATCTTTTCAGATTTCCAATGATGTCACTGGATGCAAGTTCTTTCATATAAAACAATACTTCTGTCTTTATTCTACTTATACTCGGGAGCACAGATTTATTTCAGCTTCAGATTGAAAACGCACATTTCATCAACATTGTAAAACCTCCTTGAACTAAATTAAATCTAAAATTTAATTCAAATTATACATATATATATGTTTGTTTGTTTTTTTACAAACAATGTTGCAGTCTCATGGTCAGATGCCTTTGCTTTGTTGTCATTGTATTGGCCTCACACATCTAGTCTTCTAATTCCAAGGAAAATGTTAAATACCAAATCCATTGTGAACACAACAAAGAGAGATCAACCCCATTTACTCCTACTTTTTCTTTTTCAGTGAGCTCTGAGTCTTAGATGGTCATCCTCAGATTGACTATTGACCAGAGAATCCCTCTGCCAGTATTTTGTTTAAGGGCTGGACCTGAGTGAGGCATCTGCTGATCCATAATTTCAACAGAACAAAGCTAGCAAAGAATAAAGCAATGGCTCCTGCTGACCTTTGCTATGGTATGAAGTGCACATACGTATTACATTTCACTAAAAAGCCCTCCATTGTCCTCGACAGTATTGGGAACATGTGCATATCTCCCCTGACGGTGTTAGCCTGTGTCTCTCCTGCACGTCTACATCTACCATCCCCCTGCACACGCCTGGGTGAGGTGGTCTGTGCCAATCTAGTTTGCAGACCAACCAGCTACTCTCATCTCCTTCCTGAAACTTGAGAAGAGCTCAGAATTTGGAGTCGGAAGACTGAAGTTCAAACCCAGATCTGAACACACTCTGTGACCTCTGGCAAATCATTAAACTGGCCTGGCTTCAGTTTGCTCATCTGTATGGTCAAGATGCAATAAAGCCTTCTTTGCTATTATCATCAAGGTTGATGGGAGGGTGGTTTGAAAATATTTTTTAATTTTAAGTTTGCAAAACATTATACAAATGTTATTCTGAACCAGTGTGTGAAATGCAATCCGATATTGACTTGTCCTTCCTTGCCGTAGAGGAAGTGCATTACCTACAACATGACCCGATTTTTTCCTCATTATGGTTCTCCAGCATTTCCTCTCTCGTTCTTTACCACTTTGCTTTTCTCCTTCCCTCCATGTATGGCAGGGTTCCCACTGTGGTACATCAGGCCTCAGAGGCTTTGGCTTTTAAACCAGTGAGGTGCTTCACACCTAAGACACAGTGCTCATTAACTATTTGATTATTGGTTCTGCCTGGCAGGGATCTAGTTCTTTTTTTGTTTTTTTAAGTTTGTTTATTTTGAGAGAGAGATAGAGCACAAGCAGGTGAGGGACTGAGAGAGAGGGAAAGAGAGAATCTCAAGCAAGCCCCGCACTGTCAGCAAGAAGCCCAACATGGGGCTCGAACCCACGAACCCTCAGATCATTACCTGAGCAGAAACCAAGCGTTGGACGCTTAATGGACGGAGTCAGCCAAGTGCCCCTGGCAGGGATCTTGTTCTTAAAGATTATTTTATGCCCCGTACCTGAGCAGTACCTGTCACACAGCAACTAGTCAATAAATAGTTTACCAACGAAAAAGACCAACTTCAGATTTCCTTGAGATTCTCCAATTCGAACTGTTTCCTGTTGACGTTTGACTCCCCTTGACTTCTGCTTACACATTTAAAGAAATTTTAAATGTTGCCTTTCTGTGTTACTATTGTCTTTTTTTGTGGGTTACTATATGATAATCCGGTGTGCCTTTAAACAATTGGGACGATTTAATGAAGCTAAATGAAAGGAGCTTTCCTCAGCTACCAAAAACTGAACATTTTCAACAAATGAAGAATGTGAAGCTGTGTGTTTATACAAAA